AAATTGCTTTCCTGCTTGGTGTTCTACATCTTTTTTGGAAAAGGGATCAGGGGTATCAAGGAAGTGCCAAGAACATTTGCCTTAAACTGCAGACTGTCCTTCTTTATTACTACTTCAGACTGTTCTGCCCATACATTGTCCTTAGTAGATACTTGAGTGTTTTCCATCTCTTTCCTCTTTTCAGTGATTTCTAGCAATTGAATACTACTCCTAATATTGATGGCATGAGCTTACTCCATTGTTGGCTACCTTCACAATCTTTAAGGAAATGCAATAGGTGGCATATAAACTTTGATGGTGATAACGGGAGTGAATATGGGAACTCAATAGTTACATAACTCACCACCTCAACTGCTAATACTTGTTCCCGTAAGGTGTTCTCTATGTCGCTTTGCAAAGTACCCTGTGGTTTGTTGGCTAATGCAACTGCTATTTGTCCCAATTGATTCTCTAGGTTATGTATAGAGGCACACTGATTCTGCATCACTGTCTTAGTCTTGGTGATATATTTGACAAATAGATCCTACAAAGATTGCCTTTTTCCCTTATCAATTTTCTTTATTGTTGTTTCCATCTATATTGATAATGCCGTCACTTCGTCAACATTATGATACCAGCTCCCTTCCTAGGAACTTCCTTGTCGGTTGGCCAATTGGCCTGATTCTCAACAATCCTTTCATATAGGTTGAATGCACATTGACATGATAGAACCCCTCACCGAAGCATGTGTCATGTTGCAAAATAAGGGGCATAGTCCCTTGTAGAATAGATACACTCATGCCTAGTTAGGAATATCAAGATTTGGACACTTCCTAAATACTTTCTTGAACATTTCCCATGCCTCCGATATATCTCAAGGTCTCTTTGTTTGAGAGTATAGACTTTGTTTCAGATTTGATGGACTTGAGACCGTGGTAAGAGTTTCATGGTAAATTTTTGCACCATGTCATTCCATGATACAATACGTTCGGCAGGTAGTGAGTAAAGCCATGCTTTTGCTTCTTTCTTCGATGTGCGAGGAAATAAGCACATCCAAAAGGTATCTAAAGAAATCTTCTCATGGCTGATGACATTGCACAACATAAAAAAAGCTTGTATGTGTTAATGAGAGTTTTCTATACCTTTCCCGAAGAACTTGATGTCATCATGATTTTGAAAGAGATTGGCGATATTAGGTCGAAGGTGGAAGTTTACTTGTCCAAAGAATGGGTAGACAAATGGTAGTTACATTGGTACTGGCGCTCGTTTGCAATGGTTATTTGCTAAACTGGAGGTGCTGCTTGAATTAAATCTTGAAGTATATCATGAGTCTAATTCTTATTTTCAGCCATTACCCTTCATCTTCCTTATTCTCTTTAGCATTGCTTGAGATCATTTCGATCTCGAGATTTATATGAAGATCTCGATCTCATCATGATCTTGCAAAAATTGATGAAAATCTGCGAAGAGTGAAACAAGAAGAGATCAAGTATTTCAATTAAAGCCTAAAAAAAGGGCAAAAGAAAAGAAAAAAATTGAACTTAATATAAGCTACCAAACTAAAATTAAATTTGTTATTCATTGATAACGACGTCAAAAACTTGTTAATATAATTCACAAGTGTATGGGATCGTTGTACAAGTAATATGATTTATGAGTTAAGAGTATAGTTCCCACGAGAAATAAGGCCTACTTTGTAGTTTAAGTAACATTAAAAGAGAATTGAGTTTTGTTATTTATACTAATTTTACTACAAGAAAGCAATTAAATATGATGTTTTATCTATGTAAATGTTTTTATTGGATTCATTTTATCTTCCAATTTCCATCTATTTCAATTCTCAATAATTAATCTATTCAATTAATGCATTTTTGACAACCGATAAAATTAATATGTTAAATGCTTTTTCTCAAGATACACTAACCTATGACTAATTGTGAATATTTTTACACTATAACAAACAACTAAGGCTACATGAATGGGGAAAGTTTTAGTTGTTATCGGAGGTTGCTAGCTCTCAGTCTCTACCTCTTCTTTTTGACCTAACTTCACTAGTCAATTGATGGCTAAAAAACCAAATAGTGCAATGAGTATGTAAAAGCAATCAAATAACGCAAGAACTTCCTAATTAACATCTTGAATTAATATAAATGAAAATAGGGTTCAAACACTTATCTAATATAATTAAAAAACTTGCTTAACACGTTTTGAATTAAATTACAAAAGAGAAATTAGAAAATCATCACCTAAAAGAAGAAATAGGAATTTTTCATGTTCTTGGTGTGGACCTTGAATCTAGATGAAGAATCTTCAATATCCTACTCAATTCGTCTTGATTCCACATTGTTAGCCTTGTTCTTCGCCTCCAACATTGATTAGAATCTATGAATTTGTGGGTCTAAGGAGAATATCCATGTTTCGGATAGCTTATAGTATATATAGAGTGTTGAAAGATTGCATATCAAAAATTTCCAAAACAAATTCAGGAAATGCAATTTTTCTCGAAATTGAACATTACGTATGCATGGTTCATTTGACGTGTACACAAAATAGACTGCAAATAACCTCAGTCAACTCAAATAAAGTTTGAGTGTACACATGGCTTGCAGGGCCATGTTTACACATGGTATTGCCATTTTTGGACCAAATTGTATATTGGTTCTTGAGCTTTCCCAAGTGTGTATTTTGGTTCTTTTCAACAATTTTTTCATCTTGTTGGCTTTTCTTCACCTCCAATTGACCCTTGACATTCTTGAATCGTTGTCTTGAAATCTCACACAACTATTGAAATGTAGCACTTTAGTCCCCATAGTTTGGATTTCATCATTTTTCTTCAATTTTTCGTTCTTTCTTTCAATTCTTCATGTAATTATCGACTTTTACCTATTAAACATAGTATAACACAAATTAGGCCCTAATCCATCCAAATGTTAACAAAATATCATCATATAAGACCCCGGATAAGTGTAGAAACTACACTTATCAACAATAGTAAGAGTATTGCTGCTGAACATCTGGTAGAAGAGGTGCTAGCATTCGTAATAAAGTAAAACAAAAGTTAGAGAAGACTAATGAAAAGGATAAGGCATCAATAGATTCATATCGATGGGATAAATAATTTTAGGAAGAAGATCAGTGATGGTGTTTCTGAGAAATAAGAGATTTCTCATTGGTACTTACAGCAAGCTGAAACCAAAAAAGTATGGGCTTTTCAAAGTACTTAAGCAAATCAACCACAATGCCTATATTATTGATTTGCCAATTTCTATGGATATCTCTAGTACATTCAACGTGGTAGATTTGTACGAGTTTCATAAAGATGATGAATCTCTCTATCTAGATTATAACTCAGGGTTGAGTTCTTCAGAGGTCAAAGGGATTGAAGTAGAATAGATAGCTGAATGGATTGAAGAATAGTTGAATCGAAAAGGGAAAAATGGTAATAGTGTAGGCGTGGCAGTCACGCTCCCGTTTGGACCCATAATACCATTCAAAAAAAAAAAAAAAGACTAGACGAGTAGAACCATTGCTTTGTTATGACGTACGATAGATTTTGGCCATCCAAGTTCGTTTAGGACTCAAAACTTGCTTTTAAAAGTTTAGTGCTATTTTTGCATTAGTTTATTTAGAATTCTTTTCAATTTTAGTTTTTCAACTCTTATAAACAAAGGGTTAATTCATCATTAAGAATAATTGTCTGTGCTTTATTCAATGCAATTGGATTGTCTGTGCTTTATTCAATGCAATTGGATAATCTATTTGTTGTATGCATTTTTATATATTAGAATTAGAGTTGGGTCATATGGACAAAATATGTTTAACTCTACTAAAAAAAAATTGTTAGATTGTTGATTTTCAATGTAAACATAGATTTGAATATAAGGGTGAATTTGAGAATTATAATGGATACAACATTGGAGTCAAATAATAGCACACTTTTCTTTATTGATCTCTTTTCTCCAAAATTACTTTTACACTTACTTAAAATAGATGGTTCAAATTAGTTAGAATCATAGCAACTTCATTTCAACCTTTTATTGTGTGTGTTTGATTGAAATTAGGGTTCGTTTAATTACAAGGATGGAATTAGGGTGCAAAGAAAACAAATTGAAGGTAATTGAATTGTCTATAATTTGTTTTAGAGAAAATTGTCAATTAATAGTATTTGATTGATATAATTTTTCACCTGAAAAATGTTAAAATAAAAGTGTCTTTTGGTGTTTGTTTGACTTTATTTTCATGAAAATTATCAATTTAAGGGATATCTACTTCTATAATTGTTCATATAATTTGTTTCAATTGCAAAAAAAAAAAAAAGATCCAAAAATATCTATATTTTAGTGTTCGTTTGTCTTCGTTTTACATGAAAATTGTCAATTTAAGGGATATCCTCTTTTACAATTGTTCATAGAATTTATTTTCATTGTCAAAAATTAAAAAAAAATAAAAAAGGTGAAAAACATAATACCACCTACCCCATGGGAAAATGAATTCCCCAAAAACCAAGAATTGGTGCTCGTGTGAGCAAAGGTGGAAAATGAATTGGTGGAAAAATTTTGGCTATCAAACAAGCCGAAAAAGTGAAATGGAATTTGTTTTCCATTTTCCATGGAAAAAATTGGGCCATCAATTATAGCCTTAAGCTAAACTTGAATTCTTGTGGTAATGATACTCTTTACTTATTTTCGGAGTTACTTATAAACGAACATGTATGTTTGCGAGATTTCAATCAAACACCCTCTAAAAGCTATTTTAGCCACACAAAGCATTTCAAAAAATTATTCAAGTGTGTGTTCAAAAGTAGCTTCATAATCTCTAAAACAACTTTTGATTTTTCAAAAATCCTACCAAACGAGCCCTTATAATTAGTACCTGGAGGTCAGGTTTCTTACACAAGAACCTTTAAACATTTTTTCTACGGTTTGTTTGCCTGCTTAAATATCCCATTGGTTTTTAACATTTTCTTGATTACATGAACAGTGTAAAACACCGTGAGAAAAAAGTTATTTTCACTGCCAATATGATGTAAATCCGATATACAAAAATAGACAGTGTTGATTCCCATGGAAATTCAATTTACAACGTCAATAAAAATTGTTTAAACTGCTGATACAATGATACATCGATCAAATTTCAGTTAGAAATATCACAATCTACAATAGACATTAGCCGAAAGCTTCCCTTATCCGGTTCATATAAAGCTCGAGGATTTGAGGACTGTTTTCCGCTTATTGTGAGATGAACAATTGTGAATTCCTCAATGCAACATTATTAATCTTCCCACCCCTAAATTCTATGGCAGGTGAAAAGTCTTTTCTTGCTCGTCCTTATAAGCCTCTTTCGAACATCTGCACAGATTCTTTACATAAACTTCAGCCATCAGAGAATGGTAATGGAACAGCCTTCACTGCCCTAAACTCTCCAACATTGTTGAGGTGTTCATTCTCCAATCTGTTCAATCGATGCATACAGTTAGCAGAGACCACTACCAGCATAAAAAAAATGATAAGTACAAAGTGAATTAATCTACTTTGCCAGAAGAAATCATCTAGAAGCGGTGCTAGAAGATGAGTTGGAGGGAATGATTAGATAAAAAAGTTGACCGTGTTTTAAATTGCTCAATGATAGAGTGTCACATAGCATTATGTAAGACATCATATAAGCCTTGATGTACATGTGACATGACAAAGTATAGGAGGGGATGTAAGGCCTAATCTCATATTGAACATTGCAAGTTAAGAAATATTCTCTATCGAGTTTTTCTTGAAGTTCAGAAGTAAATACTTGTAGCAAACTTTTTCCTCGAACTAAAAATTTTATTTTACCTATAGTAGTTCCAGTGTCCACGTCGGATGACTTCAAGCGAAGCCAGGAAAAACGCGAGCAAGCGTTTCTCAAACCTTCCAGCTCTGAAACCCAGCACAGTTTCCACCCATGCTACTCTTAGGACAAAATTCAAGGCCTAAAATCGAAATATTACTTGTTCAAAATTCAAATCAACAGAAAGTTGTTGCTGCCATAGAAATGCGCAAGTACAATATCTCAAGGAAGAGAGAGAGGGAGAGGGAGAAAGAACTCACAATGGATATATAATAGATGCTTTTATTCTTCAATATCAGATCATCTCTAAGCCATGGATTTTTGGATTTTGGATTAAGAAGTCCCCAATCTTTGACAAAATCCCAGTACAACTGATAAACTGTGGCTACCAATGAAGTCACCAAAACTATAGCCAACCATAATTCTGATTGCTGCCGCTCATAAGTTAACTTTGCCCCGGCTGCCACCATAGCCGAGACATACTTCCCCAAATTAGCTAGGTGGTCTGTGTTGTTTTCATCGAACCATCTTCTGACGCACTAACAGATATCATTTTTCAAATTGCACATAATATTAGTTAAATATCGGAAGATGTTCATGTCGATTTTTAGGCCAAAGACCAACATATGTGTATAGATATTGTTAAATTTGTATAATGACTAAAGTGAAATGATCGACATTCATGAGTCTTATTAAGCCGCCGTTTGGCCAAAACTAAAATCCAGATTAATTTTAATCACACATTTCATAGAATTCACAACTTTTCAACCGCACATTTTTCTCAACTTTTATCAAAATTTACTAAAAATCTAATTTAAGTTTCCACCAAACCAAACAGAGGCTTAAAGTAGCTGCATATTTACCTGCATTGCACGCCAGTAATAGGGCGCGAAAGAGATAACATAAGCAAACTCCATGTATAGTTTCCCGGATTGGCAGGTCCTATAACTGTGTGTTTTGAAACTTCCAGCAAGAAAATAACAGGCTGCTGATTCCATGTGCCTTAATAATGGAATCTGTGGAATGAATCCAAATTAATAATGGAAGAACAACAAAAGAAAGAAGTAATATGATGGATCAATGTTCTAGATACCTGGCTGGTAAGTTGATCAGCCATAAAGAAGTCTACCATCAAAACCTGCAAAATTTTTATGCGGACAGAATCGATTATCAACAAAACATTTATTAACGCACGAATGCCATTTGGATCAAAATAGAGAAAAATCTCACAATATATTAATTTTTTAATAAATCAAAGCCGAGAGAACTCAAACCATTGTTTGCGGCTATAAACTAAATAAATAAAACACTAAAAACTCTCATTAAACCAAGGGTTATTTGTTGGTCTGCATCACAGACTCAAGAAAAAATCTTATTCAGCTATGGTGACATTAAATGCACGTTTGGGGTACAGTACTAGACATTATAATAAACAAGATTTTTAATTCTTTTCCTTTTTAATACGTAGAATGACATAAATTGTTGACATTAATAATACTATTTAGACGTACCTTGTAAAAGGGAGAGCAAATTATGTTGCGTATGACTCTAATGAAGTAGTATCGTGTTGGACGATATAAGATTTTCAATGGACACACGAGCAGCGCGATGAAACACTGAAAAAGGATTACAAAGACAAGATCAAGCTTTACTTCAAAACTCAGTAAATGTAAAACTATACTATCGCCATTATTGAAGTGGCTTACGAGTAGTAGAATTCCCGGGATCATGTTGACTTGAAGTGGCGAGAATCCTTTAGAGAGTAAGATTAGATGAATAACCATAACTCCAACAACAGTAGTCATTAAAAAGGTGCAAATGAGGAAAGCATCTCTATAATTGAGGGCTGTGCTGGATTGGAATTCGAAGATGAAATTGCAGTTGATTCTTGTGCTTTTCCACATGAATAGGTTACATCCATACATAAACATGTGCAAGCTTAGCAATGCAAACATGCTGCAGATACATGAAATCTCATGAGAATCATCAAATTTGTGTAATTTTATTGAGGTGGGATGATAAATAAAAATCAATATTGTTCAGCACTATCCAAATCATTTTACTTTTACATAGTATGAAAAAAAAAAAGAAAAAAGTAGGAAAAATGGTAGCTTTCGAATTGTACCATAAACATGACCAAAATATTGCGAAAAGTTTACCTGAAAATAGGGTAGACGGCTTCCATGTAAGCGGCTTCTATTCCGGGGGTGAACATGCGACTTAAATGTGTTAATATTACATAAACACTGAACAAAGTTATAAAATTTTTAAATAATGATTTTTTGGAAAATGTATGATTAAAAAGTAGGAAAAAATTTTGGATTTACGTATAAAATATTTTATTGTGTAAATGTGTAATTGAAAATGAGTATCAAAATTAAAAAGTATTATTTTAAAGGGAGACAAATATAGGCCGAGACAGAAACCGAATTTTGAAAAAAAAAAAAAAAACTCTTAAGTTAGGTTTTGTGATTTAAGACAAATTCCAGCATGTAGGGGTTCATATATGATCTTACTAAATTACCTAGAAATTAGGATTTTATGTTTGTTAATTTTCAAAATTTTTGCATTAAGAATCTATATTTATTAATTTTCTTAATTACATGATTTCTTAGCATTAAGACTGAATTATTAGGTTGGATAGAAATTACTGAATATTTAAATAAAATTATTTTATAGCTAAACCAAACAAGGGCTACATATGAACAAAATTTTATGACATTAAGCTAACCCCATCGAACTCCACATCAAAAACATAAAATTAAAATGTGGGATTATATAAAATTATAATAAGTGTACCAGAAAGAGAGAATGTATATATATATACCTACGAAAAAGGTGAGCATGTGAGAGTCTTTGTGGTGTTGCGGTCTCAAGAATTTCATTGCCTTTTTCCTGTCTTTGTTGGCGAAGTGCTGTGTGAATAGGGACTCTACTTCATCCATTAGTCTCAACACCTTTCAAATGGACGAGATTTTTAATTATTTTTTCCTTTAATACTATTCAATACACTTTACGATAACAATTAATCTACTCGAACAGGGTTTGAAATCTGGTGTAAGGTGTCAGTCCCTATATGGTCTGATTTTTCTTTCTTTGTTCTTTTTTAAAAAAACTGTGTAACCAGTGCTCGACACGTGACATCTAGTTTTAAAACCTGTTTTGAAACCCTGTTGGTGTAGCATCACTGTTACGGTAAACAGTTGCCAATATTATAGTCTTCAGTATAAATAAAAAATTCAAACAATTCTTCAATTATATCATATCAGATCATCTTAATCAATTACCTTATCAGAACTAACGAAATGTGATCTTTTGACTACTTTGAGGTAACTTGCTGAAGCCTGCTGGTTTGATACCTATTTATGATATGAGTATTATTAGATAATATTAAAAATATATCTAATTATACCAATCTAAAATGCAATATTTCTATAAGAAAAATTTTAATTCTCTTCTACAAGTGAGATTGATATATATATATATATATATATATATATATAAGCAATCTTACCTTGTCAAATTTCTTTAGTATTTTGGTAAACGCCACCATGTTCAGTGAGCTGCAAAAAACAATGAAATTATTAGAGGTGGAAACAGAAAGTAATTTTAAATTTTTGGTCTAATTTTGTTATTGTAATGTGACTACTTAAATAGGAAAATTACACCACTCGTCTCTAGCTATTACAGTCCCAAATCTTTAAAATCGAGTAAATTGGTAGTCAACCTTTTTTATATAGTTGCAATCACTACCTAAACATTAGATTACAAATTACAACCTTTTTTATATAGTTGCAATCACTACCTAAACATTAGATTACAAATTACATGCATATAATCGTGATCCATGCATAAGATATTATGTGATCCTGATAGGATTCACCTCATTAAATGTAAGATTATAGGAAGTTAAACAAAAATTATAAATGCACGTTGAACCATCTTATTTAAAGGTTTAAATCATTAAAACGAAGAGAAAAGTATTTAGAATTAAGCTGAGTGTACAGCAATTGCTGTATACTCATGTTGACAACCCACTCACAAGAGTGGGCTCCACGATTATTTTAATAGTGGGGTCCACTCATTTGATGTGAGAGTGATGTAAAAAACGATGTAAAAAGTGTTGTACTTGTAACACAATTGAAATATTTATTTAAGGATAATGCTACGTATACACAATGGTGTACACATAGTATTACACTCTCCTCACATGGAGAGGCCCACATACAATAAAATATTCATGGGCACCCCTCAATGTGAGTGGGGTGTAATATGAGATGTACACATAACATTTCTCTTTATTTAATATGTATATATTTTTTCATATTGACCTAATTTCCTGCTCAATGTGAACGTGGCAACATGTGGCGTTATCTCGTCAGTAATGAGAGTATGACGTGTTGCCAAGTTCACGATGGGCATTATAAATTCTGTCCACAGTGTGTGGGAGATCAAACCATATTTTCATATTAATATTGCGTGCAGTTTTACTTCAAAAACGGACTGAAATTTAAAAAACCTGTATGTTTTGAGCAAGCCAAGGCCCCTATAGAGCTCCACAAATGCCCCTCTAATCATCTTTTCTGCACATTGTATCTTCTTTCTGCTATTAAATTCTCCTGTGCTGCCTAATTCGTTCTTGGAGTTGTTCACTAAATCCTCCCAAAGCATTGATGTAACAGCAGCTATGGCACGCGATGGTGTTGTTGCTGGAATATTGATTCTAAGGGCCATCTTCGGTTTCCCTTTCTTCGTCTTTGCTCGTGTTGTGGTGGCAGAATTAATGAAATTTATGCCATTCTTCTCCAATGCTGCAACAACATCATCGTCTGTTTGCGAGTCCTTCGGGCTGTCACAGTATTCACTTTGGCTTTCTGCACAATAATTACTTATTTAGTGAAAAAAGTTGCTTATTTTAATACTGATATTGGAGTTACTTAACAATATAAGATCTTTAAAAATAATATTTACCCTCATCACTAACATGAGTTTTAAGTAAAAAGACAATCAAATATAATATCAAGATGACAAAATTCTTAGAATCAAATCTATGAATAGTAATTAAAACTTTTATGATCGTAACGTTGTGTGTATAATGGACGATCACAATGTAATCTGAATACTCGATGCTTCAAATTTACACTTAGTCAAATTTAAGGTATGAAAATATCATTGTAAGATAGAAAAATCATAGATAAATAAAATTAATGATGAAATATTGATCGTGATACAATTAGTGGGCTTTGACAAGGCTATTAACACAACAAATAAGTGCTGTATTTTCAATTATATATGTATCCCACTCGACGATTAGTGCATTTGTAAAGCTGAAAAAGATTCAACTGAGACCTCTAATTTATTAATTACTCCACAGTACAATAGTTTATGGAGTATTTTCTTTGTTTAAAATTAAAAGCTAGTGTTTAGCACTATTTTTTGTCCTTTTTTCGTGTACTATAAAATTATGAATAATGTTATTCATAATCAATGACTACAGTAGTCATCCTACGTGGCAACTTCTTATTCGATGCATTAATTTATTGTAATTTTGTTGGCTCAAATAACAAGTTAATGTTTTAAATAAGTTGTCACATCTGATGATTACTGCAGTTGCTGACTATAAATAGCATTACTCTAATATTATTAACATTATATCGAATTGATGTAATTATGTTTTTATTAGGCAACTTTTTTCGACATGTAACTTGCTATAGCATTAACTTTTGGGATTGCATGGTTAGACTTCTCTTCAAATTTATTGAATCACTTTATTTAAAAATAAGAAATGTAAGTAGCGATCATTTTTGTTTATTTAAATTATCCTTAAGTGCATGTATGATTAATTTCGTTGAATGTATGAATATGCTCAATTTTCATAAAAGGTGACACTGAGACTTAACTTACGTCTTTAAAATTTGTATATTTTCATATCATGTTGAACTACTCATTTCTTCAACAAAGATGTGATGACTCACCCAAGAAATCCGAGTTCTGGCCACATGATTGGCTGATAGGCGAAAGGAAGCCGGAGCCCGTTTTAGCAGCAAAATTTTTTCGACGTCGATCACTGAGAACCCTCTTGAGATCGAGCAAAATTTGAAGCTGCTTATTCAAAGTCTCCCCTCTCTCCAGAAACTCAGTTTCCTTATTCTCATAAAATTGGTTCACTTTGTTAAGTTCATCATCTAATGTCTCGAAAAACACCTTAACCTATACAAAAACAAGTAATTCATACACAGCATGATTATGTTTGATACATAGTACTGAACCTCCCCTTTTATTTATTAATAATGTCGAGTACTGTTTAACACACTATACGAAACTAGATTTGAAGTGCACCGTTACTTATTAATTATTTACCTCGTCTTCCTCCGAAAAGAGATGAGCAAGCTCAGTTTCATAAATTTCTTCTTCTTCTCCATCTTTTCCTTCTCTAAATTTTCTCTTGACCTGTAATCAAGAAATTAATATTATTTATTATTTATTAATAATTTTCTCCATATCTTTTTAGGGTAGTTACATTTTGTTTCGCTTGGTCACGATAGTTTTATGATGCAAGTGACATTAAACCATTTCCAAACTAAACAAACCAAAAAGTGCTAACTTTATGATATCAAAAGCGAATGCGTTGTGAACCGTTAAAAAATAAAGTAAAATAAAATGAAATGAAAAAAAAATGAAAAAATAAAAATAAAAATAAAAATAAAAATAAAAATAAAAAACAGTCTATTTAAATGAAACAGAACAGAAACAGAAAAAAGTAAGGAGCACAAGGCTTGCCATGTAGAGTGGTTAATGTTGAACTATTTGATCTAAAAGTTTAAGTCGATAGATACGATTACAAATGTGATTTTATATTCAACACACTTCTCCACGTGTAATTGAAATTCATCTTTTCTTTATCAAAGCTTGAAGCTTGAATAATTTAATTAAATGGGTGACTACGAAATTTGAAACTATGACATTTGTCCGCTCTGATATCATGTTGAACGGTTTAATTTAAAAGTTTAATCTAATTATTAAACTCACATGTATATTATTTAAAATTTATCTTAACAGTTAAAAACATACAAATTATTGGAATAAAAATAATACATAAATTTTTCGGGTTGCGATTTTATTTTTTTTTTTATTTTTTTTTTCCAATTTAGACAGTGAAATTAAACATGAAGGCCAAAATCACATATTCATTAATATAAAAACAAGTTTTTCTTTT